CATTTGTAAAATGGAAATAAGAATAGTACTTCATAGGGTCGCAAGGATTAAAGAGTTAATGTATGTAAACCAGAATAGTTCCTGGCACATAGTAAGTCCTACCTACGTGAAGTTGGCTTTTATTTTTACTGTTTACCATTACAGATTTTACAGTTCAGTTGTGAAAATGTTTCCCAAATGAAAATTATTTAATTGTACTTATAAAGAACATGATTTTCTATTAGTTAAGCTATGATGCACAGTAATGCAAGAATCTTAAACTCAAATAATGATGAGAAATCACTGAGTGTTTTGAAAACAAAAGAAAATCATAAATTGTTTAAAATATCATATACCATTGTCACTAATAAAAAGCAACACATTCTTAGGAATAAAGCTTTTAAAATTCTAATTATGTTGTCTCTTTGCTACACCCTGGAGATGCAGGCTATGTTAAGTCTTATAGTTGAATTCAGACGTGTACAAATGAAATCAAATTCAGAATTCAAGTATAAATGTCAGTCCTGTATAATGTCACCTAGCTTACATGAACAGCCTATTTATGTATTATGATAACTGTACATAGTAAGTATCCAAAAGAAATTTGCTGAAAGAACTGTATTACAAAAATTTCTGCTATTTTCTAGGGTGAATAAAAAGAAATCTAACTAATACAAACATTAACCACGCTAATAAGTTAAAGTGCATCCAACACAATCTGTAGTAAGATTCCTAAGATATGAAGTACTGACTGCCTTAGTATTTAGATTACATATTTAGAAGGGGAAAATAGTAAAGATAAATTATATGAAGCCCATATTTTAAATGTTTTTAAAATACTATAAATAACAGAGAAAATACCCTAATTATTTCTACATTTAATAATTAGATACTCCAGGACTTAGGTTTATGGGACCAAATAAAAATATAAAGATGATAATATGGCTGCTGTTCCATTGTTTGCTATGTTCTCTGCCAATAAAACATATAAGGCAATTTATAGCTTAAGCCATGTATTCTGTACAAGACCATGCACTTGTATTTTTAAGTTAATCAGCAGATAGCCCGCCTATTTTCCACTCTTCTATTAATATGACAATTCAACTCCTTGGTATAAACCAATTAAGTGACTGCATGGGAAGAATAAACTATTCCTAATATTCTTAAATGTATTTTTAACTATCTATGTTGAACTTATTCTATGTTGAACTATTTTGAACTATGTTTCTTCTATTTAAGTCACTAATAAGTTAAAATACCCTGTTTTTATATGCAGAACACAAAAATCTTTTAGACAAACAACTACAAAAAAAGATGTTCCATGAGCCTTTTAACTGTAAGCAAAACAAAGAGAATGGAGCCGTGAAGTGGCTTAGGCACATCACAGAAACTATCATACCTCAAGGTACAAATGGTAAGGATGTGGTGCAGGTGTAATTTGTTTCCTAAGTTTTTAAAACTGCATTTTCCTTAAGACATATCCTAGGGCTCAGTGATAAAAAATAAAACATGTGAAACAAAGTACAGAAGCAAGTAAAATGATGAAAAATAACAATAAAAAATAATCAAACCAAATAAAAACAAACAAAAATAAATTATTGACGAGTAGGCATAAAACTAATATGCAGAAATATATTAGATTGTTAGAAAAGTCATGACGTATTTTTCTGTTTTTCATTGCAAAAATGCATCATGACTTTTCCGACAACCCAATATTTTAAATTGAGCCCTGAGGGATAACAACTAAGATTTTGCCAAACTAAAGTAGAAATTTCTATAGAAAACCCAACAGTGATTCCTTTCCTGAGCTTTAAAAACACATATAGCAGGCCCTTGAATAACTTCATTTTGCTATAACATTGATGAGATGACACAGAAACTTAATTGTTTATCTCTATTAGCCTATGGTAAAACTGATTTTCTTATATGTCATTTTGTTTGAAGTTGCAGAACCTATCAATGATATTAAGTGAGAACTGACTGTATACACTAAGCTGTCTCTAGTAATTTTGTTTGTTTGGCAACTAGGTAAGATGTGCGAGCTTTTCAGTGATTAAAAGTCTATCATGCACTGTACAAAGGCAAGGCACAGGAACACAACCGTTCCGATAAGACCACAGATGCTCATTTCATGTAAGGACTTTTATACAGAATTTATATCATAATAGGCCAAAGTGATTTTAGAACAAAAGAGAGACTATCTTAAGACTTTTCAACTTCTACTTCTGCACAACAGTTTCTTTCTAGAGTCCCTCTTTAAAGACAACAATGATTTCAGCCTTAAATTTAAAAATCTGTGTTAGGCCAGCCAAGTGGCGCATTGGTTAAGAGTTGGCTTGGGACGCCAGCTCTGAGGAGTAGGGCCCCGGTTCAGATCCCATATGAGGGCCAGTGACGCTGTGCCCTCTACAGCTAAGATGGTGAACAACAGCTCAACCTGGAGTTTGGCGGCGGTGAGTCGCCAGCGACAGCGTAGGCTGCAGTGGGGCTGGCCGGCAGCTGGCGTGTGCTTTCATGAGCTGCCATGAGCCATCAAGAGCAGCCATCCAATGGCCTGCGAGCGACTGCCTCACTCGGGAAGAGCGCAATGATAATACCAACATGGGCCAGTGAAGCGATGTCCTCCACAAGTAGACTGAAGAACAAAAGGACAGCAACTTGTCTGTTCCCCTTTCCTGATTCCCCAACGCTGTTCCCCTCCCCCATCCTCCCAATAAAATCTTAAAAAAAAAATCTGTGTCACAGATTTCTTACCCTAAAACTTTCATTCCTATGACATAAATTTATTTAAACAAACCACAAAATACTATATTGTGCTCTTCAGCCTACAGCTTTGATGGAACTAAAACCCACTTCTCTGTGTGCATGTACAGGACTCTTTATTTGTTTAAAAAAAAATGACCTTGGAAAAATGATCACCAATTCTTTAAGCTGTTATTTTATTTATTTATTTATTTTTAATGATGGTTCCCTCCAGCGGAAAACTGTATAAATCTATCTAGGTTTAAATTTAGAGATGCTCAAGAAATAAAAAGTTCAAAATAGAAAATGGTTGAAAGAGGAGCTTGCATCAATCCAAATAAATATATATCTATCTATGGAGTTCCCATGGCTTAAAAAAAAAAAAAAAAGGCCACAAACCTGGAGGTAAGGAAGCAATTAAGAGTCAGCCCATACTTATTGGAGTTAGTTTTTAAGGATGGGAAATGATGAGAACAGAAGCTCAAGTTTTCAGTGTAGTGCTGGAGAGAAGGTACTGCTAAAAAGCTTTCAAAGGAGGCTTCTCATCAGTTAGATAAGTCCTTAAAGCCAACCAAAAGGGTCCTTTTCTGTGGCTTCTAGGACAAATATGGCCAAGCTCCAAAGCCCTTTGCTAAAAATAGTTAAAGGGAGCAGCTCAATTTTGGAATATGCCAAGGTCTATGCTATGTTCACATATGTATCATATAAAAAGGGAGACTTTTCTATAACTCATTAGTCAAAAGAGAAGCAGATGGTAAAAGCTGTTATTTATTCTGTTCACTGAAGTATGAAATTTTAAAGCACAATTTACATGATTCAGAAACTGATTACACAAAAATATTTGCAACCAAATGCTAGAAATACACCATAAAGATCAAAAAACACAAAAATAAAAATTATACAACCCTGTACCTCAAAATATACCTCAGATCACAAAATTTGGGTAACAGGAAACCATTATTAAATCCAATCCCTTCATGTCAGAGATGATTAAAAACCTCCAGAGAAACTTAAGAGAAACTTACGTGTCAAAATGAGAAGACAGTTTTTAAGACTAAGGTGGAAACAATAAAGAAAAAATAAAAATTAGAAGAATATTCTAAGAAATAAAGTACAGTAATGTCTGGCTTATGAAGAAACATTGGAAAGTAGAAAACTTGTCAATACAGTAAAAATGAAGAAACAATGCATAAGAGGCAAGGATAAAATTACATATACACACTGAGTTCAAGTAAAGAAAATGTACTTTGATATTACTATAGTGAACTCTTAGGCAGAAAACGTTTCAGTAACAACACACTAAAATTTTTGGTAATAAATTTATAGATCTGGGGCTAATAATCGCCCAAGAAACTCTGTGTCTTCTGTCATAGCAACTGTCCTGTAAGGAAAACAAAACAGAGCTGATCGTCCCAGAACATCGCATTTTTGCCTGCGCTGTGCACGTCTCTATTCTCACGGCATAGAGAACACCAAAATGACAAGATGGTCCTCATGACCTGTCAATTAACAAGATCACACAAGCCCCATCGCTAGTAGTTCCCTGTGCCTGCCACCTGTTAGCCCGTTCTAGAGAGAGCCCCCAAACTGTGCTGCAGCGAAGAACTGGGAACGCCTTTGTTGTTCCCTAACTACGGAAGCTACCAGAGTTCAGCCTAACCCGGCGCCTCAAGGCAAAACTTCCCCCCAAGCCGGGTGAATGTGCCCAGACTGGGCTTTAGCACAGCCCTCCGCTAGCTAAGAAAAGGCGGGAGAACCCCAGGCGAAGCACAAGTGTCACCTACTAGTCCCGGGAGGAGATAGGGGGTCAAAGGTGAGGAAAGTTGGGGGACGAGGACCTAGGACCCTGCCCTGTTCCTCCGTTGAGGAGGGTGAACACAATGAGGCGGGGGGTCGTCCTGCAAAGTGAAAGAACAGCGAGATCCCGGGACCAGGGGTCGGGCAAGAGAGGTGCTAAACTGAGGGGAGGGGGAAACGGAGAGGCAGTGGCTGACCAAAGCGCTGAAGCAAAAGGCAAGAAGCCGGGGCTAGTAAGAGGCGGGTGAGGCTGAGGAAAAACGGCGAGGCGAGCGGTGAGTGAAGACCAGAAAGGCTAAGCTGAGGTGAAAGTGGCGAGGCCAGCGTGAGGCAAAGGGTTGAAGTGAGGGAAGCACTGCAGAGACAAGGGACAGGCAAAAAGAACCCCCACCCACAGGGACCGGGAGAGAAATTTTGAGCCGTTCCCCTACAGGCTGTACTCGTCCGGCCGCACTCAGACCCTGTCGGCGGCGGAGACTCACCCAAAGGCTGCAGAGGGTCCACAGCAGGACATGGGGACCGGTCCAGACCGACAGTAGAACCAAGCGGGTGGAGGAAACCGCGGCGTTAGAGTGACCCGGATGCGCACCCCTAGGAACCGGAAGTCACCGGCCAGAGTCGCCTCACAATCCACAACTCGTTCCACCAGAAGTCTCTGGGCGCATGTGTTAGGCTTCAGGGGGCGGGGAAGGAAAGCGCCTAGACCCCGCCCACTCCGCCAGCCACGGGAGCCCCGCCCTTGGTTACGCCCCCCTCGGCGCCACCTTTGGTGCCTGGAGCGGATAGGCTGGTTCTTGCTACTCCAGGCCTTGCACCCTGAGCCACAAACAGCACCGGAAAAATTTTTTCAACGCTCATTTTTCTAGAAAGTCTTTTAAAATGAGCGTAATCCCTGCCTCCCTAAAATGAACATGAGGAGAAATGCTGGATGCATTTGCTAGATTTAGAAAAACTGTGGAAGGAAGAATGGGTGGGAAGTTTTGGAAGTCACTTGGGGGAGGCTAGCCCAAGGTGGTGTTTTTATCCCCAATATTGCAATAGTTTGTAACTAATATCGTATTGAGCTTACAAGTAATTTCGATTTCGTGCATATTATTTTATGTAATAATTTTATCAGAAACAAAAATTTTAAATTCCTTGTCCATTTTAAATTACTCAAATATGGTCAAGGAGCAGGGTTAAATTCAGGTTTTGTGGGGGCCTGAAATTTATTCAGTTCTTTAAGAAAATTCAAAATTACAAATTTAAAAATTTTTCACAAATACAAAATCCAGGAAAACTATATACTACCAGTTACTGATTAAACGATACACTGCTAAAATACATTTTTTTGGTAAATTTTTTGGCTGTAGTCTTTGATTACCTCTTCCTATGACAGCAATTTACTAAGTAATATTATTTATGTACTAAGATCTTTGACTCCTCTCTCTCACACCTCAGAGCTAATTCATCAAGTTCCATAGGATCTGCCTTCAAAATCTGTCCAGAATCAGACCATTTACTGCCTCAGTCAATGTGTGACTGTTTGCCTTTTTTATACCCTGCCCTCCCACAATCTATTAACACAGCAGCGGTGGGCTTCAGTTAAAAAATCTTAATCAGATTACGTTGAACTTCCAATGGATTCCTATTTCAAAGTGAAAAACAAAAATTTTTTTAAAAAGATTTTTATTGGGGAATTGGGGAAGGGGAACAGCCAATTTGTTGTCCTTCAATCTTAGTTGTGGAGGGCGCAGTTAGCTCAGCTCTGTCAGCAGCTCATGGCAGCTCAACTCAAGGTGCCATGTTCAATCTTAGTTGCCGGTAGGTATAGCCCACCATCCCATGCAGGAGTCAAACTGGCAACCTTGTTGTTAGGAGCACGTGCTTTCACCAGCTGAGCCATCCTGCCACCTGTTGGCAGCTCAGTGGCAGCTCAGCTCAGGCGCAGCTCACTGGCCCGTGTGGGAAGTGAACCGGCGACCCCGTTGCTCAGAGCACACACTCTTAGCCAACTGAGCCACTCAGCCAGCCCTGTACAATTATTATTATACTTGATAATTTGCCTTTACAAAAGTATTTTATGCACAAGAATGTCAGCAAATTTCATGAGAAACTATTGTTACTTGTAGTACAGTGGTCCTCAGACTTCAGTGCACATCAGAATCACCTGGGGCAGCTTGTTAAAACAGATTGCTGGGTCCCACCTCAGTTCCAGCAGGTGTGTGACGGAGGCTGAGAATTTGCATTTCTAACAAGTACCCAGATGCTTACACTCTTAACCAACTGAGCCACTCGGCCAGCCCCAAAACCAAAATTCTTACATTGGCCTACAGGACCCTCAAGATTTGATACACACCCCCTCCCCAGAACAACTAACCTCATCCCCTATTCTCTCCATTATGCCTCTACTCAAGGCAAGTTGGTCTGTTTGCTGTTCCTCAAACCTTCACATAGGCTCAGGGCCTTTGTGTTTGCTGATCCCTCTGCCTGGAATGTTCTTCCCCCAAATAACAGCATCATTCACCCTGTCACCTCCTTTACATCTTTGTTCAAATGTCACCCTCTCAATGAGCTCTTCCCTGACACAATGTTTAAAATTGAAGCACCACCATCTTCCCTGCACTTCCTAATCCAGTTCTCCTCTTAATTTTTCTCTTATAACATTTACCCCATCCAACAATTTGCTAGTAGTTGGATTTAATGTCTCTCTCCCCATGCTCACACACACCAGAATGTAAGCTTCATGAGGGCACACATGTTTGTTTTGTTCACGGATATATTTCAGCACCAGACAGAGGCTGACACATTGCAGGCGCCCAATAAATGTTTGTTGAATGAAAGGATAAATTGCTCATTAACTTTGCTTTTGCTGACCTGAAACCATGCAAGCTGAGCCACCAACTCCACCAGGGGGAGCACATGAATAACCAATGTGGTATCCCCAGAAGTTATAATAACTCCTAAAGCATACACATCCTCATAATTCTAAAACAGAGCTATAGGAAGGCACACAAATTTATCTCCAAAACAAAGAGTGCTGTACCTACTAGCAATAAAAACCCTCCAACGTGTTAACAGTCCCTTGAGAATGAAGTCCAAGCTTTTTCCTATGGCCTGAACTTCCTAACTTAGGCCTCATGCCCAACCTCCCTTCCCCTCACATACCGAAATTTAGCCATCCTGTCTTTCTTTCTTCTGCTTGCACAGACCAAGCTTTCTTGCCTCAGGACCTAAACACATACTATTCCCTCTCCCTCGAACTCTTTTCCCCAAATCTCCCAACTAATGATTCCTTTTGCTACTCTCGGTTAAATTTCACCTCTGAAGACTTCACACAGGCCTCCTGTGACCTCCTGTCTCCTGTGTAAGGTAGCTCCCACACTCCCTTCCCATACTTGATCTTTTCTTCATGGTCCCTACTGCTATCTGAAATTGCTTTGTTTGTTTATTGTCTGTCACTGGAAAGTAAGCTCCATGAGGGTCTTTATCTCTCTTGTTCACTGCTGAATTCTTAGCATTAGAAGAATGATTGGCATATAGTAGCTGCTCAATAAACAAAACAAATAATTACTAGTATTTATTGGAGCTTCACTATGTGTCACTGGCGGCATGTAGTAAATATATAAGAGCTCATATTTTTCTTTTAGTCCTTTTAAACACCTTGGGAAGTGTTATGATTATCTTCATTTCACAATGAGGAAACTGAGGCAGGGGTAAGTTAAGCAACTTGCTCAAGGTCAGACAACTAGCAAGAAGCAAACCTAGGACTTGAATCAAGCCTGTATGACTTCAGAAACGATTTTAACTACCAGGCCATGTTCCTCTTAAATTACAGGAAAAGCAATAGGTATCCAAGTATGAATTTATTTATTTATTTATTTATTTATTTATTTATTTAAAGATTTTATTGGGGAATTGGGGAAGGGGAACAGACAAGTTGCTGTCCTTTTGTTCTTTGGTCTAGTTGTGGAGGGCGTCGCTTCACTGGCCCATGTTGGTATTGTGATCATTGTGCTCTTTCTGGCTGAGGCAAATCAGTCGCTGGCCATTGGACGGCTGCTCACGGCAGCTCACGGCATCTCACGCTGGCTGCCTGTCACGCACGCTGGCTGCCGGCCACTCACAGTAGCTTACAGCAGCCCACTGCTGCCCCACTGCAGCCTATGCCATCGTTGGCAACTCACGGCAGCCCAGCTCCAGGTTGAGCTGTTGTTCACCATCTTAGCTGTAGAGGGTGCAGCGTCACTGGCCCATGTGGGATTCGAACCGGCAGCCCTACTGCTTAGAGCTCATGCTCCCAAGCCAACTTTTAACCAATGAGCCACTCGGCTGGCCCCAACTATGAATTTATTTACTTACTAATTTCTTTTTTCTGATTTCATGCATTTATTTATGCTTACTGTCATGGTCAACAGGAGTGGAAATGTTTGTTGGAGGGGAAGAGGCGGGGGGTTTCCTGCACACTCCTGGTGACAGATCTGAAGAAATATGGCAAAAATATGGTTCAAGCTGGGTTGTAAGTACATAGATATTTGTTACATTATTTCCTGTTCTTTTCTGCAGATCTGAAATGTTTCATTCAAAATTTATCACAAGGGGCCGGCCGAGTGGCGCGATGGTTAAGAACTGGCTTGGGATGCCAGAGGGCCCCGGTTCGGATCCCACATATGCGGGCCAGTGACACTGCCCTCTACAGCTAAGATGCTGAACAACAGCTCAACCTGGAGCTGGGCTGCCGTGAGTCGCGGCGACGGCATAGGCTGCAGCCCCTGCTGCAGTGGGTTGCCATGGGCTACTGTGTGTAGCCAGCAGCCAGCGTGAGCGGCCAGCAGCCGCAGTGAGTGGCCGTCCAGAAGCCGGCGACTGATCTGCCTCGCCCAGGAAGAGCGCAATGATGGTGCCAACTTGGGCCAGTGAAGCAACGTCCTCCACAACTAGACTGAAGAACAAAAGGACAGCAACTTGTCTGTTTCCCTTCCCCCAATTCCCCAGCACTGTTCCCATCCCCCCAATTCCCCAATAAAAATCTTAAAAAAAAATTATCACAAAAGAAAGGCTATTAAAATAGTCCAAAAACGTTATAGCCAGATCTTTCTAAACAAAAACCAAAATATAAATCAAAACACAAGACTAGTTACCCTGAAAATGTCTAAAAAGAAGGCCTTTGAATTATGTTTCCATTTAAAAAAAAAATAACGAATGTATTATCAGTGTTTTGTAACAGTTATCAATTTAAACTCTCCTGAGTTTAAATTAAAAGAACAATACCACTTATATGAGGTATCTAATGTAGTCATATTTATAAATATAGAAAGTAGAATGGTGGTTGCCAGGGGCAGGAGGGAGGGTCAAAGAGGAATTGTTGTTCCATGAATGTAGTGTTTTAGTTCTGCAAGATAAAAAGATTCTGGAAATCTGATGTGCAATAATGTAAATACACTTAATACTATTGTTAAGTATACACTGAACTGTATACTGATTAAGATGGTAAGTTTTATGTATAAATTACCATGATAATTATTTTTTTAAAGCAGTCTATTTTTTAAAAAGCAAGTTTATGCCTACTTGGTCCTGCATAGAGATTATTAGAATCTTTTTCACAGTTTTGTCCACATTTCCACCAGCA